TTTTTTTTTTTTTTTTTTTTTTTTTTAGTTTCTGTTACTGGGCGCTGTTCCGTTCCCCAAGGACGTTCCTCAGTTGAAGACGCTTGGTGTGGGTGGTGTGATTACTCTCAACGAGCCTTATGAAACCTTGGTGCCTTCGAAGTTGTATCGGGTAATTGGTGATATCCCCTTTCCATTTTTTGAATGTCCTGTCTTTGCATTTTGTGTGATGCTTATGAGTTATGCAGAAACTCTACTTTCTGATGAGGGTTTGTGTGTTTAATTGATACAGGAATAATGAATTTCCATATAATCATGGTAGTTTCACTATGCGGTATAAACTGTTGCTGATATGTGGGTTTATTTGCTTGGTTTGTTTCAGGCTCACGGGATTGATCATTTGGTCATTCCCACTAGAGATTACCTCTTTGCCCCCTCATTTGTTGATATCGACCGGGCTGTGCAGTTCATTCACCGTGGGTATTTTATTTTTAAATTAATTTTGGGAAATTGGGGGGAGGGTAAATGTATCAATCAATTTTGGGTGCTGGTGCTGAGATATAGTTCTTTTGGTGTATTAACTTTGTATTATGGAAGAGAATGCAACTTGCGGTAAAACTACGTATGTTCACTGTAAAGCCGGGCGGGGGAGGAGTACAACAATTGTGCTTTGTTATCTGGTAATTGATGATCTTTACGATTGAGTTATGGCATCAATGAAGCTTCAATGTACTGAACGTTTTCCATGTGGTCTACTTATGTTTCTAGGTTGAATACAAGCACATGACACCTGCTGCCGCACTGGAATATGTTCGGTCTCGAAGGCCTAGAGTCCTACTAGCACCATCACAGTGGAAGGTATGACCAAGTCCTTTTTGTGTGCGCGTGTTCCGAGCCATCTAGAAGGCTAGTGGTTCAATGCAATCATTGTAGTACTTTTTTTGGTGGTTATTTCTCTCCTTGGTATTTGGATTTTGTAACTGTTGCTTGTATTGTAAACAGGCTGTTCAAAACTATAACAAGCGAAGGCCATGTCCTTTACCATACTCACCCTCTGGGGACGCAGTTCTTATAACCAAAGCTGATCTTGAAGGCTATCATAGCACATGTGATGCTGGTATGGAGCTGGCCATTGTTCCTAAAGTGCCAAAGACTAAACCCATGATTGCAAGATTATCTTGCCTGTTTGCATCCTTAAAGGTGTCTGGTAGTAGTGTACCAATGACCAGGCGGCTCCCGGTTTCTGAGTCACGTGCTTGCTAAGCCAGCTTGACATGGTATGTCAAGCAGGTGGCCTGTACAGAAGATGATGATGAAAATAAGTGAAATTTGATAATTTCCTTCAAAGTCGGTACAATTGTGTTACATGAAGAGAGGATGGATAGAAAGAAAAGATCGGAGAGAAGGTTTCTCCAATGTTGTGTTACAGGTTAAGAGGAACATGTTGTAGTTTCTTGACTTTTTGTACATATGTCTTCCTTTTGCATGTTTGTTAATCCAAGTGAATCCTTGTGCAAGTTAAAGCATTGTTTGTGAAATCAACAGAATTTGTCAGGTGGTGACGTAATAGTTACTAGTCTTTTTTGCAGATACTAAACCATAGCCGATTCACCTGCCTAATCTGTACCCTGTATCCTATGCAGAATTGATGTCAAACTCTCAAATTAACCCGCTGACTATTGAGAGTTTATAATTCCATTTTTCTGGATAGTCTCAGATAAATTTGTTAAGCCAGTATAAACTCGCGTAAATTTTTGTGGAAAAATATTGGCAATACATTTTCTAACGTTCTTTTCAATACATTCTCTGATGAAATTTATAATTATTGAGTTTAACAGCATTCATGTTATTGCGGATTTGTGGACTGCCGTATGGCGTGTATGCTGATACGTTGTAATGTGTTCCTCACTTTCATCCGTCCGAATAAGTGGCTAAAAAAAAAGCCGCAAATTTTAACTGGGTTTGAGGTTTGACTGGTTTGGTTGCACAACTGATTTAAATCTACACATGATCTGGATCAGTGACTGATTAATCTTGATTGACCAAAATAATAATAAAGTAAACAGTTAAACTGTGGCTACAACAGTCTAGCTTGAAAGCAGTAAAGTAATTAAAATTTGTTAATATTGTTGCTCGATGTTTCAACATGTAAATTGGTCTCCCCTTAATTGTTTCTTGTGTCTAATTGCCAAAATATTTCAAACCTGTCTTTTCTTTTTTATTTGGTCAGGAAATTTTTCGCCTAAGGTTCCCTCTGATGCATGCGATATATAGGCTGGGCAGATTCAATTTAATCACAATATAAATATTTTTATTATCTAATGACATTATAATATATAGTAAGATATATAATTACTTTAAAAATTATATTTATAGTAATTTAAATTAGTTGATAATATAAATATCTTTATATAGAAGTTGTATAAAAATTAAATTTAAATATATATATATTTTATTCAAAAATTGGCAACCAAGCATTTTAAGCAAATGACAAGGCACCCGAGTCATTATAGCCACATGTATGTGGAATGGAGCATATACTGTAAGGCATCAGCATCACCAAATGGTTCAGTAATGATTCCACGTCTTATTGGGATTAGGAGATAGATTCATGAAAGAAGGATAACTAAACAAAGTTCGTTCTTACAAACAGGAGGGGGACAATAATTTATTCTGGATTAGTGGGCAGTGTAAATGTTAGCATTCGTTTGCCTGACCTAATTTGGGCTTAGCATATTATTTCTAGAAACATGATACACACACAGGTCCAAGATCTTTCCTTTTTTTTATTTTTATTTTTATTGGGTTGGGGGTGGGAGTGCTCAACCCACTCTACAACATGAGACAAGGATTCATAAACGCAATTATTATTAGGAATGTGCAAACACACTTGAACAAATAACTAGTAAGGCCGAATATTAATTTTCTGTGTAACTCGTTCCTGTTCTATACTCCCAAAAATATCTCTGCAATATGTTGGATTTTTTGTCCATAACACAAGTTTGTTTTTAAAACAGCTAAAAATATATCCACCCTCATTAGATTTAGATTACTATATACGTGCATGTTTGCTTATGCCTTTTCCTAATAGAGTACACGTTATGAGGCAAAACTTAAAACAAAACCCAAATGCAATTTTAAAAAGAAAATTGTTCCCACAAACGATACCAAACGCTTGACACCAACCCAAGGTTAGGATTATTTCAATTGAATTTAGGAATTTTCTTAATCTTTTTTAGCCAAGTTTCGATGGACACACTTGCAAAGACTTTGATACTAAAATGTAAAAATAAAAAAAATAAAGAAGCTAAAGTTAAAGTGTAGCCATACTTAAGGCCTTTTAGGCTTTACTTCTATGATTCCTCAAGTTGATGTAATATCTTTTATGAAGAATTGTTAAATAGATTAATTTGATCTCACCTGTTGGGTCAAACATGAAAAATAAGTTGATATGATTCTTGTTTTCTTTAGTTTAACTTAGCCTATTAACTAGATCAAATTAGATTAAGTCATTTTTAAAAAATTAATTTTACATTAATTTAAAGGAAAAATAAAATAAAAACAAAAAAAGCATTAGACCAAATTGACTTGCTATCTTTCGAGTCTAATTTTAACTAGCCCAATTAACCCGTTGGATTATGTCAATGAGTTTGATCTTTTTTGAGTATAAAAATAACAAGTTTAACCTAATAAATCAACGTGACAAACTATATCAATTTTTACTCTTGTATGCTATGATACATGAAAAGTGTTTCTCACTATTTTGAATTCTTTGATACTTTTTATTAATAGATTATAGAATAAATTATATAAACACTCCTTGAGTTTTTGTAACATTACACAAATATTTCTTTTTTATACCCTTATATTAATCCTCGTTAATTGTTTTGAAAACATTATACTATAAAACACTTTATACATTATATTAATTCTCTTATCTGAAAAACATTACATTTAACTCCTACATATATTATAAGGATACCGTTAACATTGAAAAAACATGAAGTATTAGTATAATTCTAAAACATATCTCCGGTGTCAGGCTAATCTAGTCCGGATTATATTCATGATCTATGAGTACATTTTTACGCAAACTTTGGTGCAAGGTGAAATGAAGGGTACGAAAATAAGGTAAAAGGGGGATAATTGGGCTCGGTAGCATTGAAGTGACGTACGACGTATTTGCTTTATGTACTTATATTAAGCAGGCTTGAGAAGCCAAAACAGTTTCTAAAATGATTTAACAATGTGTGTGATTCAACTTAATTCTCCACAGGAGAATGAGGGACAAAATTAAAACTAGCCATTGGTGGTGTCTGTGGAAGAATCTGAAAAAGATGGATCAGAGCATGTCGTTATATTCGTCCTTGCACTACCACCATTCCTCCTGCGACTTCTTTACGGGACCAAATCTAAGCCATACCAACAAACCATAACATTGCCAGTACTCTCCATATATGCTCCTTCAAAAGCACCAAAATCCCCCATAAAGCCTAATTATTCAATATCATCTTTTTAGGTCTTCTTTAAATTTTAAATTAAAGAATACGGAGATACTTCATATCTCGCTAATTTCATTTTAACTCATCCTCTCTTTTCTTCTTTATTTTATTTAGAACATCAATCTAAGAACAGTAGTTTAAAGATTCTCCTAGCATTTGATTTTAAGAGATCCAAAGTTATAGGTATCGTATCACGATTATATATAAATAAAATGAGAAATATAGTTGTAGTGGGCTCTCTTTCTCTCCTATACACTGAAAGAAAGTATGGGTAGCTAGGAGTTTGGGTACGTTACGCAGTTATTTAAAAAGATACAATAATAAAAGAGCCTAAAAAGTTTATTCTTGTCTTCTCATTCTCTATTCATTCCCCTCTTTATTCCGTTCAGAAACTACAATGAAGTTGCCCCCTCTTCCATCTTGTCATTCTTGTGTTTAGCTTTATTGCATGCATGTCCCATTAAAGCATTAACAATGCAATTTACTCTCTTTCTCTCTAAAGATGAGATAACCACATCTTTACTCTAATAATACAGCAAGAAAAGCTCGAATCTAACTCAGAATAAAGCAATAAAGATGTGTCTGTCTCCTCGTATATATATTTTTATATATATCACTCTCTTTCTGAAAAACCAAACAAGAAAATTAAGAGAACCTCGATTACAAAATGCTTGTCTAAGGCTCAAAGTATTCAATTAGAAATTGAATTTTCCTCCTTAATTCCTTAAATACGACACACATGCTGTACATGCCTTTAGAAAGTTAATTATTAATAATGTTCGTAAGTGGTGTGTGCAATTTAAAGCATATGAAGGGAAGGGAAAAAAAAAAGGCTTGTGCATGCGTTTATCGTTTCAATCGGTTCAAACTTGAAACATAGAGTACTCTTTGATCAGTTAAGGGACCCATCAAAACTAAAAGATCTTCTTGAAACTCATCTCCTAAAGTAAAATTTCTTTTTATTAGGAAAACATCCGCACCAGTAAAAGCTCCAAGGGAGAAGCGATTTACTGCAAATTTCTGTACATGGTCGTAGCGCAAAGAAAGCATATATAGTCGTGAATGCATGAGAATCAACTATCAGGACATACAAATTATTTTAATTCGTACATCCATATATTCTACGTTTGCATGAATACTACGTTGTTATTCATTTAGCCTGCTCTTATATGTAGTGACATTAAACAACGAAGATAATAATAAAATTAAAATTAAGGACCTTGTGCAAAACAATTCAAATCCTAGCTCCTACGACGAAGTTGATTATAGTCTACGTTCACTTCTCTTTACAATGAATGATCAATGGTGAATTGAGTAAAACGTGCGATTATGTTATGTATCTTAATAGTGTGAAATATGTCCCTTTTCGTTTCACGCTGTAATGTTGTTATTTATAGTATAAACGTTGAGATTATGCAATATATATCAAACTTTTAATTTTATCAATAAAAAATATTATAATGAAGACAACGAAAATCAAACCTAAATTGCCCTAGTGATAGAGAATCAAACATTTAATAACTTGATTTGATTTATAAAATATTTTAGTTATAAAATTAGTAATTAGGAATGGGTTATTTGATTTACTTTATTTTATTTTAGTAGTGTTTAAATTTAAATTTTATTGATTTTGACTTAATTCAATTTTTATTATTGAATTCGACATTTTTGCCTTAAATATTTTTTTATGCATGCTAATAATTTAATATATTTTAAATAAGAAAATTGTAGTAAATCATTAAAATTAAACTAATTCTTTTATTTTATCTTAAAAATATTTTAAATAGTAATTAATTTGGCTCCTGAAAATTTATGCTTATATAATTTGGTTCCTGATCATCAACTTTATATATATAAAAAACAAATTATCAACTTTATGACATTCATTCAAAAAATCCACTTAATTCTTGAATGTTATAACTTTATGGCAACATAATCTTCCAATTTGTCTACTTAATGACAAACTTGGGGCATATTTTCTTTGAATTTTTTATTTTTAATTATTTTCACTTTTAACTTAATTTAAAAAATATTTTATTTTTCAAAGTTATCATATGAAATAATAAAGTTTTGTAATCTATGAAAAAATATTTTTTTTTTCTAATATAGATCTTTTAATAATAGTAAAAAAATGAAAATAATTAGTGACATTTTATAATTAAAACTAAAGATAGAAAATATTCTTTTAAGCCAAATAGCTAGGCACTTAATTTTTAAATTCATGATCAATCTTTCAATGGAATAGAACTAATTTGTCATGAAGTAAACAGATTCAAGGATTAAATTGTATACACAAATTTTCAGAGAAAATATCACTTTTGGTTATGAAATAATATACGTACTCTATTTTGAAAATTTTGATTATAAATTAATGCACAAAAAAAACTTATAAATTAATTCAAATACATTTTTATAATAAATTTTGAGTATAAGATTTTATTTATGAATAAATCAAAGTCAAATTAATTTTAATTTTCCAAACAACCCAAAATGAGCAGCTACCTGTTTTATTTTGTGACGTGACAACAATTTGAATTCTGAATGAAGGCCACGAGTAACATAACCTTGGTCCTTAAAAATCTTGCAGCACTGGCTTGAGGTTTCCACCTAAAGTTCTAGATAATAAATTCTAAAAGAGAAAGCAAAAGTTACATGATTCCTCTCTAACCTTTAAAAAATGTCGAAAGAAGTAGAAAGTGAAGCTCAACGACAAGCAATTACTTACAGCACATAAAAGAGAGAAATTGTATGAGAAAAATTAAATTCATGTTTTAGCAGATTTAGGTCAATGATTCAAATTAATTCTTTAGTAAAATCATAAAAATGCTAACCGTATGAAAAATACCTGAATATATATCGTTTGGTACATGATTCTCAAACAAATGAACTTAATTGATTTAGTGTAAAAATCTCACCTCACCTTATCTTAATAGCATATATACCTAATTAACTATATAGCACGAGCAACAAGGTGGTCCCGAGTTTGCTCAATCTCATTGGTATATATTTCTTGTGTAAAAAACAGGAAAAGTGAACTAATACAGACATATATCTTAAAATAATAAAATAATATGAATAATAAGAGGGATGATACTGTAATCATATTATGTGATGATTTTCATGCAGCAGTATGCATTTAACTTTGTGACTTTGGTCGTTCTCCGCCAGGGAGAGCAGCTTTTGCTTCAAATAATTTTTTTTTCTTTTCCTTTTTTCTTTCTCCCTTTCTTTCCAACTTGTTCCGTTGCACACAGTTAGTTCCGTTGAGAGCCACCAAAGCTTATCATAAACTGACATCATTGGAAAAAAGAAAGAAAATGAGAAAACCATGGATCTGATTACTTGGCTTTTTGTTGAAAAGAAACTTGAGGTATGCTTCAAGCATTAATGATGACCACAATGATGTTGTCTTGTTTGTGGTTTTTTTTTTTAATTGTTTCTTTTGTTGTCTACTACTGATGATGATCCTGCAGGTTGCCAGGGTCTGGCCAGTAAGAAGAGTACTTCAACCATTCAGCTTCTTGTTGGTTTGTAATTGATGACTCCTGCAAGGAAATTGCCGATAATGAAAAGATTAGGGTTTGTTTAGTTAAATGAAATATATGCGCACTCCGAGGAAGCAGAAGAATAGGGAAGGGTTTTAATTGATTGGCTAGCTCATATATAGTCAAAAGTCATTCACCATTTCTTTCCTAATAAGGACAGGATTGGTTGCAAAAATAAAAGATATTTTAAGTCACTGTCACCTTTTCCATCTCTTCCTTCTCATAGAAAAACAATTAAAATTTTCAAAAAATACTCAATATCAAGGTAGGAGCAGTGTTTCCATGAGAGAAAATGTTAGTAGAAGCTTTTCTGTCATGTAAAGAAAGATATTCTACTGTTCAGATATGCAAACATGAAGATAACAGCTAAAAGTAATAAAGAGAAAAGATGAAGGCTTCTTGTCAGCAATTCAAATAAAAATAATGAAATTGTTTTCATTATTTCTTTTAATCATTTGGAGTTATATTATTAGTACAACATAATTTTACAATATTTTTTTTATTTCTCTTTATCAGATGGATCATGTTATTACACATTTTTCTCTCTTTCTCTTTATCACTCGTAGTTGGACAAGAAAATTTCTCCATTATGGCAAACATAAGTTCATATATTTTAGAGTCAAAAGGTTAATTATTAATTACCTCTTTGATATCAGTTGAAGTGCACCCCATGATGAGTTCCTCCAAACCAGAGCCAGACCTTCCTCCTAGTTTATGATGTTGTTGCTGCTGTTGCTGCCATGTGGATATATATATTTTTAAAAGACAACAATCAAATTCAAAGCCCACATCTCAATCATCATGTTTGAACAAGCCAAAAAGTGAAAAGACAGTTTCATGCTCATAATTTAGTAAGCACTTATAAAAGCTTCCTCAGTTAGTTGCCTCGTGCACCATATATACCATGCAGAATCAGTCTATTTTAGACTTAATTCAACATATTGAGTGCTCCTTTGATTAAAACTACCATTTCTTTTTTCCTACTGTTTATGAACGTCTTCTTTATACACAATAGGAAATAACATATTTCTTCATAAAATCCTTTCTTATATGTGAAGTGTAAATTGAGTCTACCGACACCTTTGTTTCTTTCTATTCTGTCTCTATGATTTAGTTCCTATCTATAATTTGGATCAAGGAAATTAAAGGAGAAAGACGAGTAAAGCCTCACATACTGCTGAAATTGTATGTGTCACTGTCAATCAATTTACTCCCTATATAAGTTTATTTCATTACTTAATTTTACAAATTATCATATATATATATTAATTTTCAATAAAGACTAAAGTGAACACACTCTAGGCCAAAAGAAATACACAGGAAAAAAAAAACTTAAGTGAATGAAATTTACAATTTCAAAAACCAATGTGGTGATTTACTCAGGAAAATATTATAAGCAAACCATCTTTAAGAAACTCTGGTTTGGATGATGATTAATTACCTGAAAATTTTCATTTTGGAGCATTATTCTGGAGACATGGTAAGAGTTGTCGTCTAGGATTATGGATGCATGGTGAAGGGGTGGAGGAGAGATGATGGTTGAGATGGGATGCGAAGGTGTACTGATATGGAAGGCTGTGGTTGCAATTTGTTGGTGCGCATGCTGCTGTTGTTGATGATGATGTGCTACATGTCGTTCATGTGCTTCATCGCATGATCCTGATGCTTGAACTTCTCTTGCTCTCGAAGCTTCTCCTATTCCAACCTGCAATAGTCATCATCATCTGAAATTCTAAACCATCATCAAATATTTGATCGACCTAGCAACCTCTCATTTTTTTTTTTTTTTTTTTTTTTTGAGCTTCTGTCTGTAGATATTATTGTTTAGCTCTAACTATCAACATGCATGCATGTGACCCAAATTCATTATTCAATAATTCAATAACATATAAAGTTACCTTTTTAAGGTGGGTAATAAACAAGTGGTGGTTGGCTGACGCTGATTTATTATCAGGTTAGGTCCATTCAATTTTATGCGGTTTATGCAAGCAATGCTTATGTCAACGCCTTCCCTGTACGACCCTTTCATGTTCTTTCGCCTTTTTGCACAAACCATATTTACCAAATGAACGTTGAAATCAGGTATATTATTCGGAGTAAATTATACCACGCATATGAGGTTTCCAGATTTTGTAAATAAACCTCCCTATTCTTTCCATTTTTATACTCACTCTTATTAATTGTTTAAAAAATATGACACTAATAGACATTATATCTCTTGTAAAGAATGTTGTTGTAACCGTTAAACAAACATGATAATTATGAAATCTTAAGAAACTTTAAGGAATAATACTAATATAATTTAACCAATTATTTACAGTTTTCTTTTTTTGGTAAACCAATTATTTATAGTTAAATAATTTTTTTTTATACAAGAGTAGAGAGAATAAATCTGAGTTACGTACCATTGAATAGACAGTCATTTTTATGGAAAATGATTGGTGATGAAAATGCTAATTGACACTCAGAGGGAGAAATTAGACTCGAAAATAAAAAAATTATAGTATTAATGAGTTATATGTATGACAAGAAGACAAATATATATATAAAAGAATAAAATGTGACCATATACTAGTTTTCCATTTTTTATACCATAGAAGAAATAAATTTGTGAACCAGTTAGTATAGTTATATTGTCATTAAGTGAAACGTCATGCTCGTTAAATGCTACTGAGAAAGTTGCGAATAATTAAATAAAAGTGCCCAAACGAATGTGTTGTAATTCTTATATAGATGGAAGCGAGTTTGCGGGGATGTACCTCATCGAAGCTTTTTCTGAACGGGATGAAGCCAAAATGATCAGAGTTGAGTTGTTGAAGATCCAAGGCAGTGTTGAACGTTGTCATTGGAGGGACCCCAACAACCGCAGACATTTCATCTCTATGAGTAACAATTTCCTTAGAAGAACAACTTCCACTTCCACTCTCTCTTATTCCACTGTTAGGTTGTTGTTGATCTCCACTTCCTTCACCAGTTGTGGCACTTCTATCTGACCAGTTGCATTGCCTTGGTTGCGTTTGGTAGAATATCTTTGACACCACAAGTTCTCCCTCTTTCTCTTCCTCGTGCTGGCCCAGATGGTACTGGTGCATCACCCAGTTGGTCTTTTCTGGTTTTCTGTTCTTCCCGAAGTTGGTGTAGAGCACTAGAATCTTCTTGCAACCCTTTTGCTTGCCGTTAACCAAGACTGGTCTGGTCTTACCTGTCTTGTGCCATCGGGTTTCTCCTCCTTGCAAGTCGCATTCGTTTTGAATCTTTCTCCTCTTTCGTGTCCCCGTTGTGTATGCCTTTGAGGGCCTGTGGAAGAAGTGTCTGCTTAAGCCATCTCTTGTCACTCCTAAAATCAAAGTTAGGTCAACTTAGGTGAACCCTTTTGACCAAGTATCCAAGTTTTGCACAAATATCAATGCAGATCTTCTGTTGTTAAATAATAAACATATCAAGTTTATAAATTTAATATTAAAAAATTTACAACAATTCACTCACATTCTACAACTAATTCAGCTAGACTTTATCAATTATACATATAATAAGTATTGCGATCTAATAAAAATGAAAATTAATAAAGCGTTTGTAATGTATAAAAGAAGAAAGTATGTCTATAGTGAATATTAAATTTAAATAAAATTAACTTTTATGATTTTGTTGGATATGTTGCACACTCTAAAACCTAAATTAGTAGAGGCTATTTGACGAGTTTTACTAATTGAATATCTGAACCTGGAAGTTTCTCAGGATGGGTGTAACAAATCCCATCTTCTCCTTCAATGGTGGGAATGAACTCATCTATCAAAGGGTGTGATCTCATATTCTTTGCCTCAACTTTGGCTTCAAGATGTTCAATGAGTTCTTGGTCTGTTGGATCAAACTTCACTCCCGCTGGGAGACCTAGCCAGTCCTGCCGGTCCCATTGAAATTCAAATTAAAACAAAGAAAGCAAAAGGGAGAGTTAAGAAGAAGAGTGTACAAGAGAGAGAGAAAGAAATTAAAGAAGACGAAAAGCTTTAACATATGCAAAAACACTTTAGTATTAAATTAATTGAACTATATAGTCCAATGATAAAACAGGCGTAAACATGTGAATATGGTATACTTTTGTCGTGTGATTCTTCTTCATATTGTCAAAGGCTTTTCGTTGAAGGCAAGAATATTACTGAGATAGATTTAGTTTTTTTTTTTTTTTTTTTCCCATACCGGCTTCCCTTCAAATTTGTGACCACAACCAGGGCACTGTTTGGATCCACACAGTTGATGCTCTTCAAGCTTGGCATCTATGAGATCAGAGCTCCTAACACAACTCAAGTTGCTCATCTTATTCATGCTGTGCCACCTTTTGACGTGTTATGATGCTATTGTGCTATCTCTCTTGATGAAACTTTATGAACCCTTCAATTGATATTCTCTTAATATCAAATTCTCCACAACGCAGCATATCTCTCTTGTATATAACAGCAAAATTTATCCAAGAGCTAGCTTGATTGATTGAGACCAGAACAAAAGTTTTCCTAAAAAAATCAAGAGAAGAATCAAAATTGGATGACATATTACAATCATATCCAGTGATTTGAAAGCAAAAATAAGAACAATTAATCAAAATATAAGAAGTAGGCTTTGGCTTTCACAGGTTTATGAACTATCAAGAAATAGATGGTTGATCAGGCTATGATTCAATTCAGAAGCTAGCAAAAGAAGAACACCAACACATAAAGGGTAAACAAAGATTAAAAAAATAAAAACCTTGAGTATAGACAAAAGGAAATTTTGTTTTTTTTTGAAAATATTAATTCTCTCAAGGATGTGGCTGTTTGAGAGAATAAATCAAATCCAAAGCAATAAATTCTGCAGAATATGGGTGAGAGTATGAAGAAAGAGAGGAAACAGTTACAATAGGGTTGAGCTATAAACCTGCTTTAACCATGGAAAACACCAGAATTCCCTCTAGGTAGGTACTTTAACTGAAGGGCAGTGAGGAAAATTATAAAGGAAAAGTTGTGTTGTTCGAACACACACAGCAACTTTAAGGCTTTGGTAATTGATGAAGCGCATGTATGATGTAGGCGGTTTATGTGATAAAAAGAAAGAGAGAGAAAGAAAGAAAGAAAATCCGGTTGATTTTTCTAACTAAAACATCAAAACAAGGCCAATACTGTCTTCTCTCCCTTTACCTTACATATCCATCCTAATATACTGTAGCCACCCTACACCTTTCTTTCACCCTTGACTGCAAAAGCAATAAAGCAATAAACGCCAACGCAGCTCTTATTAATCATGCAAAATTTTATTTCTAACCAAATAAATGAATAACACATATATTGTTATTTAATCGCACACTCTTTTATATTAAATTTTATTAATTAATTGACAATATAGTATACCGAGAGTACATATATACAAAAACTCAAGAAAAATCCAAATGAAAAAAAAAAAAAATTAACCGATGGAATGAGTATTTTAATGAATAATGCTAAGTTTTTTTTTTTTTTTTTTAATCGGTGGTTACAATTTCTCAACGTGAAAACTCACTTTCTCTTTTTTTTTTTTTTGGTTAGTGTTCAATATGTAAAATCTCACTTTCTCTAAATAAGAGTCAGTGTCACAAATCTTAGAACATAGATCGAGTAGTACTAAACATGGACAGAATTAACAGTCACATTATTCTCACTCACATAAGAGATTAACGTGAGAAGTATAATAAAGCCAAGTTTTAAAATTACTTGTGGGAGATAATTAAGAGAGTGAGAAAAGGATGATAGAAACTCACATGGGTTATGAGGTGGAGTGCAGATGATGATGCTTTTGGTATGAATGTTTTGCGCACACACGCAGCGAGATATGGGTATTAGGAGGTGGCTTGATAATCAAGGAAAATGAGCAAACGTACTTGATGGACCACCACCTTCTCTTCTAATTAATTAATTACTTTACTTAATTATTCTATATCTTTTTTCTTAAACCTAAATACACGATCAATAGAGTTCGAGAGAAAATATCTTGAGCACGAAATTTTGCGGTGTATTTTGTGAAACGTATTTATAGAAAACAAAAAAAGTAACTTGGAGATATATATATATATACAGAAGTAATTATGCATATGATAATGTGAACATTTTAATGTTTAAATAATGGAATTGAAGTCCGACCCGAGACAGTTGATAGATAGTAAATTATTCCTAACCATATAAAAATTTCGATGATCACTATATCTTAAATGAATTAATCTCACCTATCAATTAGGAAATACCATTAATGCAACTAAAAAGTTCATAACTATATGAAACTTGGACTGGAGGCACCGAATAATTTACTGTTATCGCTGCATAAAATTAAAGTAATGGACATTTATATTTTGTGTGTTTATGATAGTACTAGCTAGTAATATTATTTTTTCTCTTTTTGTTTTGTCATCATTTGTGCCGCCTGTGTTATTTCTTCTGTTCAGGGTTGTCTAAAGTATTGGTCAATACACAACTTATGTATTTTCTTTTGTAAACTAAATTATCAAAGTATACCATAGCAGAAAGTCAAACCGATACTTCGAAGTGTTGAAATCTATTTTAAAAATGGACTTTTTTCGATAAATATTTTTCTATAAATAAATCAACTATTAAATCTCTTATCATATATAAAATTATCTATCAACTTACACTTATGTAATTTGGCATAATATAAGAAGTAACAACTAACAAGTAGATCTTCAGCATTATGTGGGTCCAGGCTTCAGCTAGCATGAAAATCTTTGGCCCTCATAAAGTATCTTAATCAGATGATGGTTAGATTTCACGTTTATAACTGCATTCTTTGTTGCAGTCAAGATAAAAATGATGGAGGGGCCCTAATGATGATTTCAGCATATATATACATAGATTGCGATGATGCATGCCTCCTTGTCTCTGCAAATTTCAACCTTTGATTTTATTTGGTCAGAATTCTCACCTAAAATATCAAGAGACAGTCCTGAGGAGTGAGGAATATATCCTATCATATGTTAAGGGTAGATCTAAGTTAAACTTGGACCTAGCAATTAGCAAAAATATTCTAAATCATCGTTTCAAATATTACTTTTTCTGACTAAAATTGAAGTATCCATTTAATTTGACGAACCAACCCATGGAGCCCACATGTTAACGGAGTTCTATGTATCTTTCCCCAGTTCGCGAATTCAATGGAATGCAATGCATAAATATTCCACTGTTTATAATTTATGTTACTTTATATATATATATGGTTGGTAACACAGTTCCGGGAGAATATAATCCGTTATACTAGTTTTAGGTATTAATTATACTCGGAGGATTTAGTTTTATACACATTCAAATATTCCAAAATACACTTTTCCTGCATAATTCATCTTTAAGAATATTTCTTATAGGAGTACAATCATTGGTACGGTGTATATGTATATTCCAGATTACAATTTTGCAAACGAAGATTTAATTATTTAACTATAAATACTTTGTAAATTTACCAATTAGTTCTTGCACTATCACTTGCACCGGATATTTATATATTATCCCTTCAATTTGCTGATCTATGTATAGTTTGTTCAATTGTAAAAGTTTAATGATTTTCACAACCAGTAGAGTTATTATTATCGTCATTAATAAATCTTATATGGGAGTCCAAAAAAATTTGCATCATGAGGGTTCTCATCAAATATTATAGAGTAATTAATTACGAGGTAAATAAAAATAAGAAAATATTGCAATACAGCAAAGCAAAGCAATACCAAATTGGGACACACATTCATCTTATTACCATGCCTACCCATAGGGATGGCAATGGGCCCCATGGGGTGCAGATAATAGTAAATCTTTTCCTGTTTTACCGGATAAAAATTGGTCACATACCCATCCCATATCCGCGCGAGTATTCATGAATTTCTTGAATACCCATGGATATCCATGGATATTTATAATTTTTTAAGAAATTAAAAAAATTATATTATAAATAATTTTAAGTTTATATTTAATGTCATTAAAATATTAAATAAAAATTCAATGTTAATTTTAAACTTGTATTTAACGTTAATTTTGTTGAAATAATAATAAAAATGCAAGATAATCAATAACTTAAAATACATCAATCTCACAAGTAAGTGAAAGTCTCATATCACAAAGATGAGAAAATGTAGTTTTAGGATTATGTGTTACAAGGATAATTAGGATATTTAAGAAATATTATTAAATGGGTACCTGCGAGTATGAATATCATCATACCCGCCCCGCCCCCGCCCCGTTATAAACGGGTAAACAATTATTCATTCCCATTATTCGCGGGTACCCAATTAGTCTATTCATTTATTATCCATACCAAATTTTACCCGTAGATACCTACGGACACGGATATTTTTGTCATCCCCACCCACAGGCCCTAATATTGGTAAGGATTGAATATGTGATAAGAAATTATATATGCATTGGTAATTACTGTCATAGTTACGTTTTAGTTATATATAATTTTTATATTATTATATTTTATATTGTATTTATTAATTATATAGAGAATTTTTTATTATAATTGTTATTGTTAATGACAGTAATTATAAGTGAGGATTAAATTTGCGTAATGAGAAATAATATATCATCGTTAAGACCTTAACTATTATGCATTAGTTACGTTCTAGTTATAATTTTAGGTTAATAATTATTAACCTAAAATTATAACTAGAACGTAACTAATGCATAATAGTTAAGATCTTAACGATGATATATTATTATACTTCTATATCGTATTTAATAATTATTTAGATAATTTTTCATTACAATCATTGCATATAAAAATATACAGTAGTATAACCGTTCTTAAAATTGATATAATAATATTTTTTACGGTTCTTAAAATTTATAAGAATGTGTCCTGAAAATATTATAAGAACGTTAATTTTATTTATTTAATAAGTATATATAATTTCTTCCTACCAGATCGCTACTTATAAAACTAAAATGGTACCTTGATAAATATTTAGACAACAATTAATTATATAAACATCATTAAATCATATGAGAAATAAACCTCAAACGTATGGTTCAGTGATAGGGGTTGATCCACGCTTAAGCAAGGTTAGGAGTTTGAATCCTGCCTTGTGTATGCAGCCGCATTAAATCTTGGAGTCAGCTATCCCACTCTTTGAGGTGCCTCCAACGTAACGATAGAGTCTTAGATACTCCAGGGACAAACAAAAAAAAAATCATATGAGAAATAGTTTCAGCTGTTGGCAATAAATAAATATGCAACAACTATTTATTTTTTGTTTGAATAAACAAAAAATTGAGGACTAAAATTGTTGTTTATTATTTTTTTATAAATAATTTTAACTATTGGGTATAAAAAATGTAAATTATAAAATATATATATATATATATATATATATACTTGTATTTTTTAATAAATTAATGTGAGACAGTACACTAGTTCAAAAGTAGTATTCTATGAGATCAAACATGGGTTCATTCAAAATATAATTGGATTTTAAAAATATTGTTAAGTGATGTGAGTAAAAGAATTTTAGCAGCTAACAAATTTAATGTGAAAAAAAAAAAATCTTCGATATGCATTATAAAATATTTAATGTAATGTTAGGGTAGCGTTTTTTTTATTTACAAGGATCTACAATCTATTAAATCATCAATTAATCTCGTTCATCCTGTGACTATTATTGATTTGAAAGATTTATGTACACGATAAAAATTGAATATAAATTTTTTTATTAAATAAATTATTTCTACAACGTGTGAAATTAAAATATTTAATTTCAACCATCAAATTAAAATATTATTATGATGTATTATGCTATCTATAAAAACTTATAATTTCTTTATATTTTTGGATGTGATTTTTTTATTTCACATGCGATATGATTTTTTATGTTTAAGATCATAACCTGGTTGACGGAAGAAAAAAAATTAATGTTGATATTACTATGTACATGTGTTTAGTAAATTTATTTTTATCTAGGTTAAAAACTTAATTTAGTCCCTTATAATATTTTTTTGTTTTAATTTAGTTTCACTTTAATTTTTTGTTTCAATTTGGTCCCTAATAATTTAAATTATTATAATTTGGACCTTCCGTCCAAATGATTTAAATGAGATTAATTCCTGGTGATGTGGATGCCACTTGTATGCGGACGTGGATGCATACGTGGATGCTTAATTTTTTGATGTATCTGAAACCAGAACGGCCCGTTCTTAAACCGGAACGGACCATTCTGGTTGCACTCATGGTGCGTAAATTTTGCATCCGGAACGGGCGTTCTAAATGTATTATTTAACACCAACGAGTGCATCAGAACGAGCCGTTCTGAAATCGGAACGGGCCGTTCCGGATTTAGAACGGGACGTTCCAGACCGCCAACCAACACACAATGTAGTTCAAAGTATATTTAAATTATCATATGTATAAAATATAAATTTTGAAGAATTATTCATTTATCTCATATTTGTCAAACTTTTGTGCTTTCTATTTATTGTATATGTTGATAAAAAAAAATCAAAATTGTAAAAATTTGTATCACATATCAAAAATATCTTTATATGATAAATAAATTAAATTTGATTTTTATAAGATTTAACATATTTATTTTTATGTTTTTATTAGTGTTAAATTATTATAAGTAGGTTTTTAAGATTGTAGTTCTAACCAAACATTTAAAAAAATGTCTATGACAGATAAATATATCATATTAATAACATGTATTTTTAATAAAAATTAGCTTTAATTCTGTTAAATTATAATATAACATAATCTGACATAGTTTATTTTCATCCTTAATCGTAATTGTAGATGTAAAAACTTGTAAAAAATAACTATAATATATATTTATACTTTTAAAAATTATATGTAAAATTTTTAATATTACAAATATATAAATAAGTATAGTTCCCACGAGCTATTTTGGAACCAGAACGGGTCGTTCTGGCCTCAGATGCATTAAAAAAATTTGGCATCCATGTGTGCATCCACGTGGCATCCATGTGTGCATCCACGTGGTATCCACGTGGCCAACAGTTAACTCCGTTTAAATCATTTGGACGGAAGTCCCAAATTGCAATAATTTAAATTATTAGGGACTAAATTGAAACAAAAAATTAAAGTGAGACTAAATTGAAACAAAAAAATATTATAAGTGACCAAATTAAGTTTTTAACCTTTTATCTATCATAATCAAATTCAAGATATGAGAATTTACAACAATTCACGCATTGTACTCCACCAATTGAACTAGACTTTTTGATATTTGATTAATACATAATCTTAACAAAGAACATAATTTTTTTTATGGGAGATTAAAATTAAAAACTAACAATTTACATTTTATCTAAAATTTTAAAAATTGAACCGATAATCAAATCGGTCTTAATACTGAATCAGTGGATTAAAGGTTATAATGGTGAGTCATTTATTAAACCGCATAAACTGATTTTAATTATTTTTTAAAAATATTCATGTCATATATATTTTATATCTATAAATTTTAATAAAATTTATACCATACCTTATTTAAGTCTCCAAAACAAATTCTAGTCAATATAATATTTATAAAATAACTAAATTATAAATTAATTGAATTCCATATATTAATATATAACTTTAAATTAAAAATATATTACATAAATTATTTTAAGTCAATTGTATAATTATAAAGCATGTTGGTTCACCAGTAATGAAGCCATCACTCTATCCCAACACAGAATCAATTGAACAAAAGATCAATAAAAGATTCAATTTAAACGGTCTGAGACGATTTTTTTTAAAATTATGATTGTATCTAACTTCTTATTATATCTTTGAGAATTGTGAGACTATTTTTAAAATTATGATTTTATCTAACTTCTTATTATATCTTTGAGAATTGATTAATTTAGAAGTTAAATATATTTTTAGTCCAACTATAAAAAGATAATTTTTATTTTTTTAATCTCTAAAAGATGAATTCTGTCATTTTAATCCCTCATTTATAAAAATTATGTAAAATGTAGTCTTTCTCTTTCACAAAAAGTTATATTTTTCCCCCTATTTATGAAAATAAAAATCATATACACCACATTTTCATAAATGGAAGACAAAAATAATACATGGAGTGATTAAAAATAAACATTATTTTATTTGTAAGAACTTAAAAATATATTTATCCCTTAATTTAAATACAAAACTGATCGTAGACTAACTTTTTTTTTTATATAATAATAATTATTATTATTTTACCGCAAAAAAAATTAAGACAATTCTAATAAAATGCATAGTCATAAAAATACTTTTCACTCAACACATCCAAACATTATCCCATATAAATAGTTTATTCTATTTATAATAGATTATCAAAATAACATTTTTTTTACAACTAATTTAAACACACTCAAAAGTTATATCATAACTCGGAGACAAATCCAAAATATAATCATTAGTATATGATTTTGTTTTTTTTTTAAATGTATCTTCTTGATGCTAATGTAGAATATCAATGAATTTTCAATTTTTTTTTACAGTGACAGAAGTAGTATTAAGTTTTGAGTCACCCAAAGAGCTCCAAAAGGCAAGAGATCAAAGTACTTGTCTAACTTTCGTAGAGAACTTACAATTATTTTGACACAGAAACAACATGATCTCGTTTCATATTTCATATAATGTTTCTAATAATATATGTTCAGTGAGTGCCCTGTCGGTAATGGGAATTTTTTTTAAAGGGACCCTATATACTTATTACTTCTTTTTGATAAAAAGAAGGACATGTAAGTAATTAATTTGATCTACTTATAGTTTGTTTTGATATGGACATCTCTTCTACATTCCTTGTTAAGAGTAATTCTTTATTGGGTGGAAGCCGTAAATGGGGAAAAAAATCTATTGGGGAGCACAAATTTATTACATTCAAAGTGAACTTTCTGCGTATTTCTGGACATAAGTGAGATATACTTATTTGATTTAAGTTTCTCATTCAGAAAATGCTACATGGTTAAGTGGTCCAATTTTTATTTAATAATAACAACATTTATTTGCAAGAACTATAACTTCTATAGCTCTCCAAAAGAAAGAAAAATTGGTATTGACAACTTACAGAAGTGGATATAACATGCGGTAAAGAATATATGAATATGTGATTGGTTTACCTTATAATAGATAGCTTTGCTTCTGTTTTACTCATCAAAATATTGCTTTGACCGATTAGAGCCAAGGTGCCTACTTGGCAACATGTTAGTACAACAATTTAAAGAAAAAATAATAATAATAACATGTTTGGTAGGAAACTGTTTAGAATATATATTTTAAGCATAATTTTATAGACTTATAGAGGTAATATTCATACTCACAATTTTTTTTTATCTCCCATGTTGAAGAGAATAATCATCTAACCGATTAATTTTGCAATTTATGATTAATTGATTATATTAAATATAGTGAAGAATACTAACAATATATTTTTTTTATTAATTAAAATTTCTTAAAAAATGCAAAATCATAAATGAGACTTGATAAATATGATGTAAACCATCACAATTATATAATTTTTAATAAATTTTAATCAATAATACAAAGTATTAAAAATGATTATTCAAAAGAATAAGAATATATCGCTAATATTTCTTTTAATATAATTATTGTACAAATGTGTTTAAAAATAATCAATTATTCTTTTCTTTTTGTTTCAATAAATAATGGCCAAATAAAGTTGACAGTCTGTTGATTACTGAGTTACGCAAAAGAAACTATTTTGTAACTAAAAATAATATAAATATGTGAAATATACCTAAAATTAGTACTGTTTAAATATTATCTACTAAAATAACAATTATGCATAACAACATAAAAACTGTATTATTGTCTATTATAAGGACAAGATATTTTGACATCCAAATAACCTTTAATTAATTAACCAATACTGACCACAAATTCAACTAAAAAAAATCAAAACTACGTAACAAAAAAAATGACTCACCGTAAGGATCAATAATTTTTTATTTGAGACTCTTAAATAACATGACCAAATCTCTCAAAAATCACGAATCTTGGTTCAAACACCAACTAAATACAAATAAGAACATTTACGGTAAAATTAAAGTGTTATCGATAATGATTCTGGGTATTGATTTTAACTTAACAAACATTAAATAATTATCATAACTCTTGCAACTAAAGACAGCATAAGATAATATGAAGTATATAATATAATTTTCCTTGGCTCAAAGATTAGATGAAAAATCTTCAATCCACTTGGTCAGAACACACTAATATCATATTTGATAGTTTTCTCCGTGTCAATTTACAAAGATGACAACGACAAAGTTAAAACTTAAAAAAATTTGTATATACTATCAAAACATCATCAATGGGTCAATCATACACAAATAAATAACAATAAAATTAAGTTCGGGAAATAAATACAGGTTGAATATTATGAACTATAGAAAGAGTTTCTGTGCAAAATTAAAATTCATAATTTACGATTTACATTAAATTAAAGCAACTATTTTTGAGAAATTTTAAACTTTCTTTGAAAAAACAGTCTAATTATAAAATTTTTAGAAAAAAAAATACCAACTCGAGTCTACAATAGACCATAAAAGCTGGAACAACAAGCAAAATAAACTAGATTTCAATTAGCAATACATTTATTCAAAAAAATATAATTTGGTTCTCTAAAGGGATTCAATCCAAAAATAATCAACAGTTTTAAGTTCAGTCCAATAAATATTCGTGCGAGAACTCTCATATTAATGGTTATGTGCCCAGAAATAATGAGATGTGCAGATACTGCTTCTGCATAATCACTAATTTATTGGCTACAAGAAGGATAGTTAGGAGTTTAATTTAATTTTACACCTTTTAGCCGGACAAGACTTGATTGTATGCCAAGAAGACTTGATATGATATGATGGATGAAAGTAATCTCATTTGGAGTGGAACTTGCTGCTCACTGATTCATAGCTTGGAACATAAAGAACTGCAGAAAGTGGGAGAGGTAAGCTTACTCCTCAAAAGAGATGTAAGAACAATAAAGGAGCATTTTTCACAAATCTAAGAAAATACCATCTCCATATGATGCCATTGTGAGGGGGGAAGAAATTAGTTTCTGAGAAATTGAAGTGATATCCTTCAAGGTTACTTCTTCCACTGCCTTTAAGAAATCCTCCACAGGTTTCCTGAATAGGGAAGAGATACAAGCATTTAAAGTATGGAACAAATGCAAATAACAATAAGCAACATTTAATATAAAACTAACAGCTCTTTTCTGTTCTTTCAATCACAAAATTTAAAACTATTTGGTGACCATATTTAACATAGAACTTTCAATTCCAGTTCAATGCTAATTTTACTTTTTGAGAAAATCAAAACATATATTTCCCCATCATTTCCACGTTCTTAAACTCATTGCAGAACACAATTGTTATACACCAAGATACTAAACCACCTAAGAAAAAATGAAATGCTAAAGAGGAAAACATACAGAAGCATTCAGTAAACAAGCAACAAAGTATGTTTGCAACGCAAGTAATTCGTCCAAAACAAAAAAAATATAGTAGTTCTCTCATGTTGTGAATTATGCTGCTAGAGAAAACCAAGAAAAAGTGCTTGTAAAACCAAGAATGTGAGAAATAGGGAAAGCGGGGAAACCC